TGCCTGGCCCGGCCGCCAGCATGGGCTCGGCGTCGCGGCCCCACGGCGCCTTGGCCGCGCACACGGCGCGGGTGGAACCTCGGCGGCGCGCCAACACCCCACGACCCAAGCGCGCGGGCGCCGCACCTGCTGGCAGAAGCGCTGCACGGTGCCCTGCACCATCACCTCTGGCATCATCATATGCTCCATGCAGATGTGGTAGCGCTGCGGTGGAGGCAGGCAGGGGAAGGGCAGGGGGAGGTCGGGGGCGGAAATGACGGAGTGAGGGTGAAGACGGGCAGCAGCCGGCGGGGGCGCGGCAGCGGGGGAGGTGCGGCGGCGCCGGTGGGGGGCCGGTACGGGAGCTAACCCCGCGGCGGTGGCCAGGAGCAGCCGGGGGCGCTGCCCGCCCCTCGCCGGGCCTCGTGCAGGCGTCCCAGGGAGCATGCACGGCACGGCTGCGCCCTGGGCGGCCCAGGAGGCTGCCGCGGCGCAAGGCTACGGTACGGGCGCTACGGCTGCGAGGTGTTGGCGCACGCCCCGACACCGGCGGAAGTGGAAGCACCGGCTGGCCCCACCGCGGCGCCGGCGCCGCGCCCCACATGGCCTCACAGGGCTTGACGGCGGCTCACCTGGTGGAAGAGGCGATATCCGCTCAAATCGACGCCACAGACTTGGCATCCCTGAAACGAGGAGGGGCGACCCGGCTTCCTCTTGGGCAGCTGTGAATCCGCCAGAGGGGCGTGAGAGGCTGGCTGTGGCTCGGTCATGGCTGGTGGAGCGGCGAAGCGGCGCGGTGTGACCGATGCGCCTGAGGAGGGAAGGGGCGAAGGCTACAGTGGGTTCCAACACGGGTGGGCGTGTGGCGAGGATGACCTGGGCGAGAAAATAATGAGAAGCTGGAGCAAATCACCACGGCACCATGAGGGACAACGTGCGGCGGTGACGAGATAGGGCGGTGGCCGCGGCCGGCTCGGCTAGCTTCCCACACGCCTGGGAGCGAGGCTTCTGCGGCGGGTCGGCGCCCCAAGCAGCTCGGGTGTACCAGTGTGATTCTGGCGATGCCACCACCCCGTGCAAGCGCCGGGTTCGCTCTGCTACAGCTCTTGCATGGCCCAAGGAGTCAATCGCGATTGGGGGAGGTGGCCACTGTGGCTTGCATCCTCCCGCCTTCTCCAGTTTCACACCATCCAGAAGCCGGACAAGGCTGTGCCGCTGGAAAAGGATTACAGGACACAGGAAGGCCGAGGGGCGAGCCCGGCCAGTTCCCACAAACGGGCGGCTTACAGCGGCGCGGCCGCCCGACGCCGCCCCACCCATGCTCCGCGCCTTCCGCTGCATGCTCTCAATCTCATGCACACGTGGGCCCGCCACATCGTTACAAGCGCAGCGCGCCGCTGGCTATGAGCGTCGCCAGCTCCGTGCCAAAGCGGTGCAGCGGGAAGCCGACGACGTTGAAATAGCAGCCCTCGATGCCCCGCACAAAGCTGCCCGCCAGGCCCTGTATGCCTGCACGTGCAGGCGAGCAGGCACGCAGGTGCTTCCTTAAGCAGCGATGAGCGGTGGCCTGGTGCTCTCACTACAAAAATGCGGAGGGATGCAGTCACAACACACAGGGCCGAATGCCCCCCACCAGGCAGCACGTGTGGCAGCGGTAGTCGGCCCCGGGCGTGCGCACCGTAGCTGCCTGCCTTGCCAAAGGGTTCCCCGGACGCGATGTATGCCTGGATGGCCTCCGCCGACAGCTCCTCAAACTCCACGCTGGTAGTCACCGAGAAGGTGTGCAGCCGCGGCTCTGCACACACACCAGAGAGAGTTTTTTTTTTAGGCGGTGGTGAAACCTGATGGATGGTGGGCAGGGCCGGCAGCCTGTGCAGCGTGTATGCCAGGCCAGTTGCGGCAAGCCCTCCCCACCTAATGCTTCTTCTGTTGCTGCTTCTGTCGCTGCTTCTCCTGCGGCCGCTGCCGCTGGCGCCTCCAGCGGGGGCAGCACCAGCGCGACGCCAGTGTGCACGTGGTGCCGCTTGCCGCTCAGCATGCGCAGCACGCGGGCCGCGTCCGCCGCATCTGCCGGCTTCTCCAGGATGTGCTCCCCATACTCCACCACTGTATCAGCCCCGATGACGAGCGCCGGGGGCGGCGCCGCTCCCGCCGCTGCCGCCGCCGCCAGCTGCCGCGCCACGTCCAGCGCCTTGTGAGAGGCGGTGTGGCGCGCATAGTCGGCGGCGCTGTACCGCTCCTTGGGCAGCGTCTCCTCGAAGCTGCTCACCACCACCTGCAGGCAAAGGCCGGGGCGACGCAGGTGCGCTGCAGTGTGTGGATGTATTGCAGCCGGGAGCCAGGTGGCAGGCAGCTTGAGCGAGCTGGTCAGACAGCACGGGGCGACTTGCAGGAGAGGCTTGGCAGCAGCTGTGCATGGCATACACGGCATACAACCTCGTGGTGTCTCCCATCAAGGAGCACAAGGCGCCAGCCGCACCCACCTCAAACTTCATGCCCATCTGCTGGAGCAGCTCCCGCCGCCGCGGCGAGGCACTCGCCAGCACTATCCTCTTGCCTTCCAGGGCAGGCAGGTGCTCCAGCAGCATGGCTGTGGTGGCTCTCCGAATCGTGACTGGTCGCTTACTGGTCGGGGCAGGGGTGGTGAGGCGCTGGCTGGGGAGGAGGAGTCTGGGCATGAGACAGCAATGCAAGAGCGGGCCTCAGAGAAGAGAGGCTGGGAGTGGTGATCACTGGCGCATTGACGGGCCGATGGTTGACCCGAGAAGGCTCCTGGCTGCTGTGGTGGAAGGTGTAGTGCTTCTTGTACCGCCTTTCCCGCTGGGCAACCCCTCTTGGGCAAGGTAGGGCCTGGATGCACAATCCGCGATTCGTGAGCGTGGTCCCACGTGTGTCTGACCCCGCCATGTCTTCACTGCTGTGCTGAGGGGGCCATCACTCCCTCTTGGGTGTTCAGACCGCCTTGAACTGCGTGGAGGTGGAATTGAGCACGCATCAGCATGGTGTTGGAGGGAGAGCGCGGCGTGCTGACCTCCCAGTTAATCGATGGGCTGAACAGTGGCCAGGTGAACTCGTGGGCGTGCCTGGCTGTCGCATCGTGCACCCACGGATGCGCACAGTCGAGGAAGCAGCCCCACGGGTCCCGGCTGGGGTCCACCGCCGCCGCTGAGTGGCGGAGCTCCGCCTGACCACCGCCCGTGCTGCCAGCGTCTAGGCTCCCGTGCTTGGCGCAGCCCACCACAATCGCCTGTCTGGCCCCTGCAGGTGGTGGTGAGCGATGTGGGAGCCACCATCCCAGGCGTCACCGCCGCCACCCTCCAGCGTTTTTTGATCGACCTCGTCCGCGCAGTGGCGGGTGCGTCCTCTGTCTGTGTGCGGGATGGATGGATGGCGTGGTTGGCCAGCCCGGAGGAAGGGAGGATGCAGCGGTTGTCCAGATGTGTTTCTCTTTCCCTGGCCTGGCCGCTGCTGGCCGCGCTGCTGGCCGCTCACGCTCGTCTCGCTTCACACTGCCGGCTTGATCCCGCTTTGAGTCTCGACCTGCTGCGCCTCCCCCTGGCCCCTGCCGCGCCCTGCAGCCGGCAGCCTGAAGCCAGACAAGGTGGCGGTGGCGGTGCGGAGCGCGGGGGTGGAAGACACCTCCGATGCGCTCGGCTCAGACCTGGCGGATGCCCTCTGGTGCGCTGCCTTGGCTGCCTGCCTGGCTTGTGTCTGTTGCTGTTTGGTGTTTACAGCCTGCACATCCGCAAAGTAACTTGCGACACGGACCCCTGGCTGGCTGGCTTGCCGGCCGTCCCGGCTGCAGCCCCGGCCTGGCGGGCAGGGGGCTTGCTGCCGGCTCTGGGAGCGAGGCTGAGTCGGCGCCGCCGCGCTGTGCGCACCTGCCTTGCCTGCGCCGGTGCAGGTATGGGTGGCTAGAGGTGGAGGGTGATGCGGGGGGCGACGCCAAGTCGCGGGTGGCGGATGCCGCCAAGGACTTGCTCAAGGAAGCGCTGGTGCGCCCGCCCCGCCCGCCCTGCCTGCAAAGTCGTGCGGCCGGCTGTGCTTGCGTGGCTGCCCGCAAGCGTGGCTGCCCGCAACCCTGGCTGCATGCTCGTGTATGCTGGTTGGCTGGCGCACCTGACGGCTGCCCGCTGCGCCCCGCCTCGCCCCGCCCCGCCCCGCCCCGCCCCACCTCGTGCCGCAGGTCACCAAGCCGCAGCTGTTTGAGTCTGGGGAGGGCGAGTTTTTCGAGTGGTGCGGCATGGTGGTCAGCAAGGAGGTGTGGCGGCGCAAGGAGATTCGCTCACACACCAAGCACGTCTACGTGCAGCGCAAGTGAGGCGGGGCAGGGAGGCAGGCGCGCGGCTCGCGCCGGGCAGCGCAGGCCGCCGCTCCCCTCCCCAGGCGGGGCGTGGGCGGGCAGCTGCCGGGCAGCTTCCTGGCAGGAGGCGCTGGCGTGCTGGCAGCGGGCGGCGGCGTGGAGTCGGCGCGGCGTGGGGTGCAACTGTTCTGGCGGAGGCTGGCAGGGGCCCCCGCTTGCGTGCGGACGCAGCCCTGACAGGCAGGCTGCCGGCGGCTCAGGCGGCGGGAGGCCGGCGAGCGGCTTCCTCCCCGGCGGCGGCCCGGCCTGGCGAGCGCCGCCGCTCCAGGATGCGCCACACGCCCAGCCACCAGCTCCATGGCGCGGCTGGCTCCCGCCTGCATTGCATTGGTGCCTGCCCCCGTGTCCCAGGCCCCTCCAGCCCGCAGCTCTCCACCCCCTTTCTAGGGCGCTGCGGGCGCCCACCCACCCCCTCCCTCCACGCACCCCATTGGCGCCACCCTGGCCGCCGCCTGCCCCGCGCGTCCGCCGCAGGTTCAACCTTCTGCGCGAGGAAAGCGAGGGCTACGCCAAGCTGGCCACCCTGCTCAATCAGCAGGCCGCCGGCTGCCTGTCGCCCGCCGGCACCGCGGCCGCGGTGAGCGCGCAGCCGCGCGCAGAACAATGCCAACATGCATGGGCCGCGCGCTG